AGGAGCAGGGAGGTGGAGGAGGAGGAGGGAGGAGGAGGACGAGGAGGACGGGTCGCCAAAACCCTTCGGAGAAACCCTCTACGCGCTCCTGCTTCAGCGTCTCGACAAGGTTCACCGCCAGCTGCTTCAGCCTCTCCAGAAGAAGAAACAGCCACACAAGCATGAGCCCTCCGATCTCCGCGCGGACTTCCTGGACAGGCGATGGACCCCCCTCGCCTGGCCCGCCGAGCGCGCCAGGGGCGCCCCGCGCCGCTCCGAGACATCCGCGCGGACCTCCGAGAGCGCATCCTCGTGCCGCTTTCTCTTCTCCGACCCTCGTCGAACTTCGTGACAGGCGCGTTCTCCCGCCGCAGCGCCGGATGCGGGTACCTCAGCACTGGGAGCACGAGGAGAAGGAGGAAGAGGACGAGGAGGAGGAGGAGGAGGCGGAGGAGGAGGAGGAGGAGGAGGAGGAGGAGGGGGAGGACGAGGAGGAAGGAGGAGGAGGAGGAGGAGGAGGGAGGAGGAGGAGGGAGGAGGAGGAGGAGAGGAGGAGCGAGGGGGGGGAGAGGGGAGGGGGGGAGAGGAGGAGGAGGAGGAGGAGGAGGAGAGGAGGAGGAGGAGGAGGGAGCGAAGGTGTAAATCAGCACTAGGGAGCCACGCGCTCTCGTGTCGTAGCCCGGGGCGGGCCAGAGGCGAACAGCTCGCGGTGGGACGCTGTGGGGCGGTGCAGGCTGCCGCGCCGGGGGCGGGCCGCCGAGGATGCGGGGACACAGCAGTACACACAACCACCACCACCACACCAAACCTCTCCTCCCACCCGCCCTCTCCCTCCTCTCCTCTCTCCATCTCCCTGCCTCCCCCCTCTCCTCTTTCTCTATCCTCTCCTCTCCCTCTTCCTCCCCCTCAGTTTCCCCTCCCCTCCCCTCGTTCCTGGGCGGAAGACATGGTGGTGGTTTACCTCTTCCCTCCTCTTCCCCTCCCCTCCCCTCGTTCCTGGGTGGAAGACGTGGTGGTGGCTTAGATGTCCCCAGAGATCCGACGTCGTGATTCTTTCCATGCGCGGCCCCCAGGAGTCTCGACCCATTCCCCAGGACCGGAGCTTCATCCCGAGCCGCTTTTTGACGGCCCCGGGGCCCGGCGCGGGACCCCAGGGGCCGAAGCTTGCGAAAAACCTCCGTCTTGTTTCTTGTTGTTTTGTCCATGCGTCTTGTTCTTTGATTTATAGTCCTTGCGTTTTTGCATGCTCAGCCAGCTCCCCATCAGCTGCAGCCCCACCGGCAGCTGCTGAGTGCTGGCACGGCCGCTTCGCTCGAGGCTCGCGCGTAGCCAATTAGGTGGGGCCGTGCCCAGGACCTCCCCTTCGGCGACAGCGTTACCGCGTCAGCCCGCTGACTAAAAAAAATCTCTGGGTGTGGATCGGCTTTTCGCAAGAGTGACCCTGGGTAAGAGTGACCTTTGGTGCGCGCCTTTTTGGGGGCCGCGGGGGGACCAAACCTGGGTGCGCAAGCAGCTGCTACTGCTTCGTTTTCAGCCATCTGGGTACCCATCAGTGCCCGCACCAAAGGTCACTCCAGCGAAAGGTCACTCTTACGTCTAGTCGAGTGGAGATGTCTGGGCCCCGCCGAAGAACGCCCCGGCGCCCGGGGCCCCCACGGCCGCCCACGCGGCGACCGCCGCAGCGCAGGCCGCGCCCGCGCCGCGCGCCCCGCGCCCCGCGCGCCGCCGCCCAGCGGCGGGCGCCCGCGCCGCGAGAGGCATCCTGCCGCGGCGGGGCGCGCCCACCGAGCACCGAGGGGCGCCCTCGAGGCCGGGGGGGGGAGGGCCTCCTCGGAGGGCCGCCCTCGCGGGGAGGGGGGGGAGGAGGAGGAGGAGCAGGAGGAGGAGGAGGAGCAGGAGGAGGAGGAGGAGGAGGAGGACGAGGAGGAGGAGGAGGAGGCGGAGGAGGAGGAGGAGGAGCAGGAGGAGCAGGAGGTGGAGGAGGGGGATGAGGAGGCGGAGCAGGAGGAGGAGGCCCGAGGAGGCCCGAGGAGGGAGGCAGATCATGCTGTGCCTCTCTGGCTCTGGACGGCCCCGCCGAGGCGCCTCGTCGTATCCCCCCCCCGCTGGCGGCGACTCCTGCCGGAGCGAGGCCCGCGCGCGCCTCCGGGGCGAGGCCTGCGCCCCCCGCGGAGGCCTCCCCCGCGGAGGCCTCCCCCGCGGAGGCCTCGCGGAGGGCCTCCCCCGCGGAGGCCTCCCCCGCGGAGGCCTCGCGGAGGGCCTCCCCCGCGGAGGCCTCGCGGATAGCCTCCCCCGCGGAGGCCTCGCGGAGGCCTCCCCCGCGTAGGCCTCCCCCGCGGAGGCCTCGCGGAGGGCCTCCCCCGCGGAGGCCTCCCCCGCGGAGGCCTCGCGGAGGGCCTCCCCCGCGGAGGCCTCGCGGAGGGCCCGCGGGGGGGCCCTCGGGGCAGGCCGGGCGCGCGGAGGGCTCTGCGGCCAG